TAAAAGCGAGTTACATATATATAAACACGAGTTGCATTTGACATGCCTGAACGTGACTTACATATATTTACACGTAAAGTTACATATTTTCACACGTAAAGTTACATATTTATACACGCGAGTTACATATTTATACACACGAGTTGCATTTGACCTGTCTGAACGCGAGTTACATATTTTTTTTACGTAAAGTTACATATTGTTACACGTAGAGATACATATTTATACACACGAGTTGCATTTGGCCTGACTGAACGTGAGTTACATATTTTAAAACGTAAAGTTACATATTTTACACGCAAATGTTAATATGTTAAAATTACATAGGCAATATTGATTTCATTTGAAAGATCATGAAAAATAAAAAATGTTGATATAAATTTTATAAAAATCGGATCAAAAATAAAAAAGTTATTACCATTTTTTAAAAACAAAAGGAAAAAATATATATATCCTTATACCGGTATACGGTGCTCACCGTATACCGGTCGTACGGTATAGGCACTCCAAAATTAAAGCATATGCATGTATGTCGATCTCAATGTCTGTCTTTCCCATATTTGTATTATTATGCGTTGTCTCTTCACTCACCAATGATTAATTTCAAACATGTCTGTTCGTTTTATTCTTATTACTTATTGGATATCTATCTATAGTTTTATATAAAAAAAACTTAGTTTAAAAACAACGATGTGATATTGTTGTATAACGCAAATTCTTTTATCACTATTGTTAAAACAATTAATTATGTCACCGCATGCATCACGACTATCACTCCCTGCCAGTGGCGGAACCAGAAAAGAATTTAAGCGGGGGCACAATCAATAATGAATGTCGAAAACACCAATAATTAATTCAAACAGTTATAAATTCTTAATTTAATACAAATAATGCATTAATGCATAATCATTATTCATTAGATTTAATTCAAACTATTTCACACTACATAATTTTCTAACCATAATTATGAATTTTAAAAAAATGTAAAATGAATTACCAAAATTTTAATTTAAATAAAAACGGGGAAATAGGAAACTGAGAACCTACCGGTCACAGGGGCGGGCGACGGAAGAACGGCGGTCAGCAAGCTGGCAGATGACGGTCCAGTGTGGCTGCGTCCGACGTGACTGGTGGCTCACTGCTGCGGTGCTACATTCGGTGCTTTGGTGGTTGCTGCTTGGCTGCTTGCGCAAGGCGCTGGGCGGAAGAGTGAAGGTCGTAACTATTGGAATTAACCTTGTTGTTTATAATCATTGACTACAGTAACTGCTGGAAGTAACTGCTTTGGATTACCTGATTGGCTATTAGTTTGGGCTCCAGGCTGCTGGTCATTGGGCCTTCCTTGGCCCGATAAGCCTTTACTTTTTTTCACAGCCTCCTTCAAAAACGACGTCGTGTCTTTTAAAATTGAAAAGTTCTAAAAAAATTCATATGTTCGCTTCTTCCCTGTTCTCCAGCCGGCAAATCGAGCTCTCCAAGATGTCAACACCTCGCCGGAAAATTGCAACCGACTAGTCTGGCAGCCCCCAACCCTCTACCTATACCCTAGCTCGGAGCCCGAAGCAGGGGCACCGCCCCCCCGGCCCCCCTAGCAGATCCGCCCCTGCTCCCTGCAATGTTGTGAATCACGGCTGCAAAATCTCTCATTTGGAACAAAAATATCTTTATGATATACTCTGTTGGGTCACAAAATAGTTTGGGAAATTAACTTGAAGTCTGGCCCATGAGTAATTAAACAATCGATCGGTCCAATCCAATGTGTTGTGATAGAGGATAAGATTAAGGGATTTCAAACTAAGCAACACCAAGGATAGGGATAAGTGGCAAGGTGGCTAGGCTGAAAACTGGGAGATAAAGGTGGCAGTTCAACTAATCCCTCATTCCTAGGAAGGTTACCACTCATAATGGAAGAATAGCAAATCAGTTTGGGAACTTTGATATAATTCTTTATATAAATACTTGTAATATCATTGAGCAAAGGGACACGAGCCATACTATTGCTCTCCCCAACAATTGTATTGAGCTCATTATTATTATAAAATCCATTATATTTTGAATATATTCCTATCGTAAATCCTCAAAGTTGGAAGAAATGACCGGGACGGAGGGAGTAACTTTTATGTTTATACTCCAATTTTCACAAAAAAATATCAATATTCATAATTTTTAATGATCTTTCATATAACACCAATATTTCATATGTAAAAAAATATCTATTATTTTTACATAGTAAAATTGAGTTAGAAATTTTATTTATTACGGAGTAATAAACTTTTTATTCCTACTCATACTAAAACATTTAATTCATTTAATTTGAGTGGGTTCATTAGTGCTATCCACTCCGTGTATGACACTACTCATTTGGAGAAAGGAAAGAGAAAAACTTCTTTTTATAGTGCTATAACTTTTTTATTTGTACTCCGGCTTTTACAAAAAATACATCTAAATTCATAATTTCTTATGATCTTTCATATGACACCAAATTGCATATTCACTTTTTTATAATAAAGTTGAATTATATGATGTGTCAGTCCCTTATTATTTAAAGAAACTTTTATTATCATTAGTTCTAAAACATTTAATAATCCAAGTTCACTCAATGCATCACTGCTACTCACACGGTGCATCGACGCTATTCACTTGGAGCATCGTTGTTATTCAATTTAATCACACTAACTTATTTGGAGAAAGCATATGAGAATGTGAGAATAATGGAGAAGGTTACTCCCTAAGGAGCCCTGACAGATATATTTATATTAAAGAGAGTTTAATGTAAAGTACAATACTAAGCCTCTAATAATTCTATTACATCCTCTCAAGCTGTGCGGGAGAAACAACGTGTAGGTTGTCTTTAAAAAAATGAAAACGTTGACTAGAGAGACATTTAGTAAAAATATCTGCCAGCTGTAGATGAGTAGGAACATGCTTAACAATCAGATCTCCGTGAGCAACCCGTTCCCGAACAAAATGATAGGTTTACTGCGGGCATGCTGAACAGGATTTGCAGTCAAATAAGAAGCAGAGATATTATCACACAATAAATGTACCGGCTCCGTGATTGGCCAACCAAGCTCGAACAAGACCAATCGGATATGCAGTGTGTCATGTACTGTGTAAGCAATGGCACGATATTCTACTTTTGTGGAGGACTTCGACACGGTAAGCTGCTTCTTAGTCTTCCAAGAAATCAAATTCAGACCCAAGAAGACAGCAAAGCCTGTGGTGGACCGAGAACTATCAGGACAACCTGCCCAATCAGCATCGGAGTAAGCAACTACACAGGTTGGGCGATTAGACTGCTGAAGCCATAGGCCATGATCTCGTGTGCCCTACAAGTACCTGCAAATTCTTTTGACTGCAAAAAGATGAGTGGTACGAGGAGCATGCATGAACTGAGACACTAAGTGTACTGCATAAGTAATATTTGGCCGTGTCAAAGTTAAATATTGTAATGCACCAACCATGCTGCGATACTCAGTAGAATCAGACAGTAACTCACCATCAGAAAGAGACAGAGTGGTACGGGAAGCTAACGGGGTGCGAACAGGCTTTACGGTATGGAGATGAAAACGGATTAGAAGATCAGTAACATATTTATGTTGAGAGAGAAACATAACTTTAGGTGAACGAATAGCCTCAACACACAGAAAATAATGGAGATTACCCAAGTCTTTCATAGCAAAATGATGAGAGATAATCGAAACAAATTGGGTAACAGATGACTCAGAATTGTCAGTAATAATAATATCATCCACATATAATAATAAATAAATAATAGTATTATTCTGGCGGTAAATGAATAAAGAATTGTCATATTTACTACAGGAAAAATCATTTTGCAGAAGGAAGCTACTGAATATATGAAACCAGGTCCGTGGAGCTTGCTTAAGGCCATAAATGGCCTTGCGCAGATGACATATATGATTAGGAAATTGATGGTGAATAAAACCACGGGGCTGACGCATATAAACTTCTTCTGTCAGATGACCATGTAAGAAGGCATTTTTAACATCAAGTTACCGTATAACCCACCCAAAAGAAATAGCAAGAGTAAGTACAATACGAACAGTGGTGAGTTTTACAACTGGACTAAAAGTTTCAGAGAAATCAATTCATGCCTGTTGATTAAAACTTTGTGCTACTAATCGAGCTTTATGGCGCTCTAATGACCCATTAGAGTGATATTTAGTTTTATAAATCCACTTGCACCCAACAATATTCTTAGTGCTGTCAAAGGGTACCAACTCCCAAGTATTATTGTTAATTAGTGCATTAAATTCATCAGCCATTGCCTCATGCCATTTTAAATGTTTATTAGCCTTAGTAAAACGGGTAGGATCTGCAGGAGTAATAACTGTATTTAAATTAAAAATTACTTTGGGTTTAAAAATTCCTGACTTTGCTCTGGTTTGCATCGGGTGGTGATTCACGACCGTAGCGGGGACACTTGAAGGGGAGGAAGACAGCACGCCGTCGGCTGAGAATGAGCCGCCGACGGTCGGACTGGTCGGAAGATTATCAGCGGGCGTGGAGGTGAAAGTTTGCTGACTGGAGGAGGACGGTGTTACTGATGGTGAGGCTGGGCAGGTGAAGGACTGAGGAGGGCTGGTTTGGTGGTCTGACCGAGGGGAAGATGTGGTCGAGACAGGGAAGTGGGGTTCGGGAACGATGGTGGATTGGGTAGGAGGGTCTAAGGTAATATCTGTGAGGTGCATTGGAGCAGGTGTAGTAGAACTAAGGGAGGGAGGACCGAGGTTTGGAAGTATTTTAAAGGGATATGTGTCCTCGTGGAACCTAACATGACGACTCACGTAGATGCAACCTGTAGTAGGATCAAAACAACGATAACCCTTATAACCGGATGCATAGCAAAAAAAGACACACTGAACAAAACGAGGTGATAATTTATTAGCATATGTGGCCGAAGAATTAGGGTAACAAGCCGAACCGAATACTCGTATAAATGAGTAGTCCGGAACATGATTAAACAATTTTTGGTACGGTGATAAGCCATTTAGGGTAGGAGATGGTAATCTATTAATAATATATGCAGCAGTAAAAATGGCATCTACCCAAAAGTTACTCGGAACAGAGGCTTCAAGAAGCATAGTCCAAGTAAACTCAAGTAGATGACGGTGCTCGCGCTCAGCAACCCCATTTTGTTGGGGTGTGTCAGGACATGATTTTCGAAAATATTTTCCGTTAGCCAAGAAAAATTGCTGCATATTATGATTAACAAATTCACCCCCTCCGTCACTTTGAAAAATTTTAATTTTATGATTAAAAAGATTTTCAACCAAAGTCTTAAAATTTTTTAAGTGCATAAAAACCTCACTTTTGTGGTGCATAGGGTAAATCTAAGTATAACGAGAAAAATCATCAATGAAACACACGTAATACTTGAATCCCAAATTTGAAAATACAGGAGATTGCCATACATCGGAATGAATAATTTGAAGAGGAAAAATAGAATTATGACTAGAATCCACAAAAGACAAACGTTGTGATTTTCCTAAACGACAAGCCACACATTCATGAGTAAAAGGAGAATGACTACATAAAAATTGTTTTCTCTTAAGAAACTGTAAGATGCTATCACCACAGTGACCTAATCTACGGTGCCACACAGAGCCAGAAGCTAAAACGGAAGCAAATACTAATGGTGAGGATGACGGTAGACGGATAGGATAAAGTGGTCCACTACTGGTAGCTCGCAGAAGTACTGCCCCCGATGCTTTGTCCTTGATCAAAAAAGAATTTTTATCAAACACTACAGTACAGTTATTATCAGCACAGAGCCTTTGAATTGAAATTAAATTATATGGGGAACAGATTCAAGAATACCCCCGTCCGATGGCAAGCCTGCAGAACTATCGTTAGTAACACAAACAGGTAAGGCATTAATATTTAAATGTGACATAGCAGAATTACAAATAACAGTACCCGTAGATGTCACACCCCCTGCATGGGAACCCGGCTGACCACCCCCTCCGGGTAAATAAGCTCACTGCCCCTGAGGATACCAGTACACCACCTGCTGCTGTCCGCGACCTCGCCCCCTGCCGCCGCGGACTCGCCCGTGACAGCGACCTCGTCCGCGTTGCTGATTGTCGGACTGGCGCTGATGCCCGACCGGGTGACCCTGCTGCCCGACCGGGTAAGACGAACTGGAATGCTTCGGGGCCGAAGGTTGAGCAGGTGATGAAACAGCCGCGCCGAAAGCCTGATGGAAAGATGGGGACTCCTGGGAGCGTAGGTAAATAACCTGCTGCTCTAGCTCAAGAAGATGATTACGTAGAGTTTCAAACGGGAAATTTTGAAGAAACTGGGACACAGTAGTAAATAAAGATTCATACTCAGGTCCCAGTCCCATAATAGTAGTCTTTAAAACTTCCCGAGGTGGCACAGGGCAATTGATTGTGGCAAGATCATCAACTAATATTTTAATTTCTCTCAAATAGTTATCCATGGACTGATCAGGTTTCTTTTTGATTTGATTAAAAAAACGCTTTAATTCCATAGACCTGGCTAAACTGGCAGACATAAAGCGAGACTCTAACTGTTCCCATATTTCACAAGAATGTTTTAAATCACGCACATCGATGAGTACATCCCTAGATAGGGTTGCAAATAACCATGAATGGATTGTTTGATCAATTCTCAACCAAGTTGAAAATTCGGGATTGGGAATTTGACGGTTAAGAGCATCTATGGAATAAGCAGGAGGTACCTGAATGGAGCCATCAACCATGCCAAGTAGAGCCTGTGAAACCAGGAATGATTCAAATTGTGTCCTCCAAGTGGTGTAATCTTCCACCGCCAAAAGTTTAGTAGTCACAATATTTGTGACATTGGTGGCCACATGAGATATGGTTTGAGCCAGATCCGTGAGAAGGGAACCGGTCAGGTTGCCTGCTGGTGTGCGAGAGGGAGGGATCACAGAGGAGACACCAGGTGAGCCGACGAACGTGGGGTCAACAAAGGAAGGACCTGCCGAGAAGGGCGGCGGCTCTAACGGGACTGCCTGCACAAGAATTGGAGCCGACCAAGGGAACACCGACGGGACATTTTGAAACAAGGAATATGGCATAGAGACCCGACTTGGCGATGCAAAGTTGGAGGAGAACGTCACACCGGAAGAGACAGAGGTGATTGCCGGCAGCGATCCAAAAGATGTTGGAGCGCCGACGGTGGTGACGGAAGTAGCCGCTGCAGTTGAAGGTGGCTGGGCAGTGGTTGCCGTTGTGCTGAAGATGGAAGTCGAGGATGACATGGTGCTGCGGTGGGCGGCGCCGAAGAGAACAGGAGGTCGGTGAAGTATGGGGTGGCGCCAAAGGGAATACGGCGGCTGTGCTAGGGTTTAGTGAGAGGGAGAGGATCGGGAAAAAATTAATGTGCTCTTGATACCATGTAAGAATAATGGAAAAAGTTACTCCCTAATGAGCCCTAGCAGATATATTTATATTAAAGAGAGTTTAATGTAAAGTACAATACTAAGCCTCTAATAATTCTATTAGAGAAAAATTTTCTTTTTTAAAATGCTATGATGTTCTTTTGTACTCTAATTTTATAAGAGATGTATCAAAATTCACAATTTTTTTATAATTTTTCATATAACACCAATATTGCATATATAGAAATAAAAAATATTATTTTATATAATAAAAATGAGTTATACGGAGTAAATTAATATTGTGTCAGTTTCTTATTAGTTAATAAAAATTTTGTTATCCCTACTACTAAAACATTTAATTGATCCAACTTCACTCCATTCACTGCTATTCAGTTGGTGCATCACTGTTATTCATTTTGATCACGCCAACTTATTTGGAGAAATGGTAAAAAAAAATGGTTTTTTAAAAAGTGCTGACTTTTTTTTGTACTCCATTTTTTATAGGAAATGTATCAAAAACCATAAATTTTTTCTAATTTTTCATATAACACCAATATTGCATATAAAAATAAAAAAAATATTATTTTTATAAAATAAAATTGAATTATAAATGAATGAAGTGTCAACCTCTTATTGGTTAATCAAAATTCTGTTATCACTACTACTAAATCATGTAATAAATCAATGTTATTCATTTTAATCAAGGCAATGTACTCATTTGGATCGACAAAGGGGATAAGAAAATACCCCTTTTTCAAGTGCTATAAATTTTTTGTACTCCAATTTTTACAAAAAAAATATATCAAAAGTCATAACGTTTTATGATCTTTCAAATGACATCAATATTGCATACACACACATATATAAATGATGGAGTATATGGGTCTAGGCCCCAGGACCCACATACTCAGAAGAACAGAAAGCACAGCCACTACGCGGTGCCCTCGTCGGCCGAAGAAGAACCAACTCAGAATATGATCCTGAAGCCGAGGAACCAGGGTGTCCTCATCGGCCGCGCCCTCGTCGGCCGTGCCCTCGTCGGCCAAGACCCTCGTCGGCCACGGAAGTCTCACAGAACCGGATTTTACACTTATTCATTCATATAGCCCACCAGTGACTCTGTATTCGACCCAATAGCGGTCCAGTTGTAAATGGGCCTCCCAAGCCCAAGGCTTGGGAGCCCAGCCCGTATTTTTCCTATAAATACTTCCTCTGGAGGTAGTTATAGGGGTTAGAAAATCATTCTATTGAAGCATTTCTTGCACTTCTCTCTAGCTCTCACTTCTCTCTAGACATATACTCTATCATTTGGTGCTCTCGTTGAGAGCTAGAACAATCAAGTTAGCACCCTTCGTCGCTACCAAGCACAGCTAACCACTGATCATGGGAAGAACTAAGTCAAACCGCAACCTCGTCAGCAAGGCCATCCCTGAGGACCAGGAGACCAGGGAACATGAAGAGGACGCCACGGCCGACCAGGTCGGCGGAGGAGACGTCTTCCAGGAGGCCATCAACCTCACGACGGACCTCCGCAACCAACTCAACGGCGGAGCCCCTGATGCCTGCATCGGCCTGGACAAGAAACGAGCTGAGAAGACAGACCACGCCCTGGCCCAGCCTATGGCCGCAGCTTCTCCGTCTGTGGATCCACAGGTCCAGGCCGCGTTGTCGGTCATCATCGCCAGCTTGGCCCAGAACCCCACCGTCCTCAGTGCACTCTTGCCAAGGACCGGGGGGAATGTCACTCCACCTCCTCAGCCCCAACCGTTGGCCGTCAGGTTAGGCAATGATGAGGGGGTGATGGCCCAGGACACGGCGTCGTCCCACTCCCACCCCGCTTCCCCTCTTCGGCCTGGGCAGACCCCAGCGCGTAGAAAAGCCTCTGCCTTCAATAGGCTAGGTGACACGCGTCGTCGTCCGGTTTCGGAGAGGATGGCAGGGCGGATTGGTGAGCGTCGTCCTGGCTCGCCAAGGGAAAGCTTGGGGTCTGTGTCCCGGACAGCGGACCAGCCCCGCCTGGACAAGGGAAAGGGGAAGTTGCACGAGGACGACGTGCGCCACCAGATCAATGCGGCCCATGACGAGCGCATGAAGAATCAGCAGGGCGCCGCTGCGGCCGCCAGGGATCCCCGGGACGAGGTCATCGCCCAGCTGGAAAGGAGGCTGGCCCTGATGAAGGCCAGGCAATCGGCAAATGTCCCTACGGCCGGCGCCTCCAACGACACTGGCCTCAACTGTGACACTCCAAAAATTTAAATAAAAATAATTTTTATTAGTCAGATAAAATATTACGAAAATAAAATTTTAATAATTAATTGAGTCAGACAAAGATTCAACAGTTGTAATATTCTAATCAGATAAAATTTCAAAATTTATGACGTTTTAGTCAGATAAAAATATTTCAGTAATAAGAACAACATTTTATTAAAGAAGTGAACCAGACAGAAAATTTACATTTGCGACACTTTTAGTCTCATAAAAATGGTCCGATAATAGAAGTAACGTTTTAGTATAAAATTTACTTTTATATATATTTTAAGTTAAGTATAAAATGCACAAATACAATAATATAATAAATAAAATAATATACAATATATATACTCCGTATATACTCCTAATACGTAAACTACATAACAATTAGAGTATAAAATACTACATATAATATGCAAGTATAATAAACAATATGAGTCAAAGACTCCACATACAATACAATAACCTCAAGTACAAACAAAATAAAATACTCCATATACGAGTATATGAGACCGTTGCTACGCATGTCATACACTCCAACTCGAAGAAGAATCCTACGCAGGAGAATAAACTTACCTTCGTATTTGCGTAGAAGAGTAACTCAATTAGCTAAACCCCTAAGCCCTAAGCCTGTGAAACTCGACATGCATGTATATATATTATACATAAGTCATACGCCGTACACTACACATATATATACATAAACCCGGAGAACACCCCACGTCCTTCCACAAAACCCAATGAGAAGAAGACTGCTCTACCGCCGGCGCACAAGAAGAAGAAGAACGACCGGCATCATGAGAGAAGAAGAGGGAAGAACGAAACTCGCCGAAGAAGAAGACCCAGTTTCCGGAGTCATTGCCGGACTGGTCTCACGCCGGATTTTTGCTGCAACCGGAGAAGCTGCTACGTCGGAAAAGACCACGGCGACGCCGGTCAAGGAGAAGGGAGGACGCCGGAGAACCGTAGCCATGCTCGCCGGACAGACAAGCAAGGTCGCCGGACTATTCGGCTGCTTTTACGGCGGAGAAGGAAGTGTGACCATGCAGCCGTTATCACCGGAGGTGCTGCTGCACCAGAGAAGTGGCCGCCGAACAAGTGAGCCTCCGTCCCGACCATACGCCGGCCACCGGTGGTAGTGGTGTTAGAACTGTCGTCACGTTCCCCTGCTTCCTGCTGCTGAAAACGAATACGGCCGTACTGTAAGTATTTGCTTAGTTACCATGTTGGGCTGGGACAACACTATCAATATGAATAATAATAAGGATAATAGTAATAATAAAATAGTGATAAGAGGAATAAAAATAACTATTTAACACCCCCAAATTTCCCTCCCAAAATAATACTTAAAGAAACAATAAACTTTTATTATTTATTCGAAACTTTCAATTATTTGCAACGGAGATAAACAATAACCAGGAAAAGGGGCGTGTTACCGCCACACCCTGCCCTCAACTGACTGGATGCTAAGGCTATCCACCATAAATGTATCTAAAGTAAATATTAAATTCAACATTTAAAATAATGAAATCTAATCAAGTTTATTCTAAATGGGACTACTCTAAATGTCTTCTAGGAGTGCTCTCAAGGCATCAATCTTCATATATCACATCATCTGTAACATAAGAAAATAAAAGAAACAAATAACACAAAAATTAGCTTTCGCTAAGAAAATCCCACCCAACCCCGTAAAATAATAGTTTTGTTCAAAATAAGTATTTGTATATATGATACATACAAAATGAGTTTCCAATAATTTAGTTTCAAAAAGAGTAGTAATATTTGCAAAATATTTCTTCCATAGTTCGTGTACGTATTTCCAAGAATAATTCTCCACGTACAGAAATATTTGTTTTCCTCAAAATAGCTTTATAGCTAATTCTCCTAGTTATTTAGAAGGGCGGTGCTCAAGCGTTACCTCGATTCTTGAGCCCAGTGATCCGTTGTTTTGTACAGTCACTCCGATCTTCTCTCGGTACCTCATCTCCTCTATTAGAATCTAGACTTCTACCTTAAGTGTGCACACCCCCTAAAGGGATTCCAAGCCCTCCGAGTAGTATGAAGTCTAAGTAGTTCTGACGTCACGTCTCCCTACTCCAAATGGGATATACTCCCTAGGTTCTAGGTTCAAAGATCCTTAAGAGAATAGGTACTACTACTACTGCTCTAATAAAAGGGATCTGATGTCCACTTGTTCGGGGTGGTTACCGAACCCTCCAAAATTTATTTGATTTGTCTCTAGCCTCTCAATTCCAGTAGTAGTAGTCCTAACCCTCCCTCACCATTAACGGACGTGAAGGTGGCCCGGCACCTACGGATTTCTCCCGCGATGCCCCACATTAAGAAAACAATCTTTTATCTTGTTTCAAAATCTCATATTTATGTCTCTTGGACAGAGTTTCACCACAAGGATTATTTATCCTTAAATTGTTAACTTTATATTTTCTCAAAATATCCCACACATACATATAATCCAATATATCTCAAAATCACAAATACAACTTGCTCACAAATAATTCGTCATTCAAAATATTCATACCATCAGACGTACATATCAAATAAATAATTATTTACGAGGTAAAATATGATTTTGGTTGCAATGTGACTTACCTCAACTTCCAGATAGTCCTAACAAGCTTCTCTAACGGCTTCCTTTCCAAGTACCTTCTAATATTTAAAATTTCTCAAAGTCAATATTCATTCGAGATCGTAGTTTAATTGTCCTACCCTTTTCGTTTAACCCATTATTCTACTTGTTAAAGTGATCATAATTATCCTGATTAACTCACCTATAAGTTTATTTAAATTGGTCTACTTATTCTAACAGTCCATAAATCCATTATCATAACCGACCGGGTTTTAGGATTCCATTTTAAACTAACCAGTCCGCTATTTACCATTTTCGATCACTAACTTATACTGATAATGATAACTATTAACCTTATAAGTATCAGTCCATATTGCTATCACTGTTACTAGTACGTATTGCTGTCGTTATATTACTATCATGGGTTCTAAATATAGTCCATTATTATGTCTAATGATAATCTATTTTATTTTTACATATATTGGTCTATAAATTTAATCCATGATTTTATTATAATCCAAATGAATCAATCTGATTTAACTAGAATAGTACGAAATTCATTCTAATATAATCGGTTTATTATTTATCATTATTGTGATAATAATCATTCAATTCGTCCAGTTTAATTAGAATAATGAATAATCCATTCTAACCTAATTATTAAATAATTGGTCCATTAAATCCTTTAATTTTATTATAAAAAAATGACCATTCTAATGAATAACATCAATCTGAACATTATATTATTAAAGTTCTTTTAGTCCAATTATTACCTCAATCCACGATTACTATGACCAATTTCATTCACATCATTTATTATTATATTATTATTACGATTCACATCAAGTGTATTTTATAATCCTCACCGTTCCATAATGAAAGATACCAGCCTACTGATTTGATACGTCAATGGTCCAATTCAATATTATTACTATTATTTCAGCTCATTCTCTACACACAGTACGTTACGTAGTTATACGAAGTACTCCGTATATTCGTTTGTCTTCTCTATTTTTTTTTTACGTACGTGAAAACGAAGAGAACGCAGAGGCTGTAACTTACCTACGCCGACGTTAGTCGAGTAGTACGGTGGTGGCAATGGTCGAGTTTCAAGGTGGCAGGACGGCGGTGGACGTCTTAAGACAGCGGATCGAGCAGACGCTTGCAGCTTCCCCTTCCTCCGGTGAGTTCCTCTTCCTCCGGCGAGTTCCTCTGCCTCCGACGGCTCTAGGTTTTCTGCTCCAGTAACGACCTCACCTTCTCTCTCGAAATTGAGAGGCTTACCCTCTCCTTTTCTCTCGTTTTCTCACAAAGTTTTCTCTCTTTTGTTCTCTTCGACGCAGTTCGTCGGTCGTGGGTTTGATGTAGGTTATCAACGAAGTGCTGCTATTTAAATTTGTAGGTCGAAGGTTCTCGATCCCTAGAAATTAATTTTGTTGATTTTATCCAATTAGCCCCGAAATGCGTAGTTCGTTCGGCGATCTTATCATATCACATGCGCAAGTGATTACTTGTGTGCAAAGTATTATTCTTTCATCACATACCACGTATATTTGATTATATTTAAGTTTGAAAAGTCAAACCCCTAAATGTATGTGTGTGTCGCACTATATATATACTATACGTACATCTATGTTTTTTTTTTTGCTTTCTTTCTTTCTATTTTTACATAAATCGTATATGCATTATTATTATATGCAAAGTACATTAGTAAAGTTAATGATGTTATTCATTTTTAATGTATACGTATCATACGTTATAAAATATTATCTTATCAACTTTATTATGACAAAAATAATTATTTTATTTTACTTAAATTTTTCGAAGTGTCACATTCTACCCTCCTTAAAAGATGCTTCGTCCCGAAGCATAAGCTAATATCTACTATCAATAAGTATAAAATAACTAAGTGTTACATTCTACCCCCCTTAAAGAGGGGTTACGTCCCCGTAACTAGTAAATTACCTGAGGTAAATAACTCTGGGTAACGTTGGCACATATCGTCCTCAGTTTCCCAAGTAGCATTCTCGGCTAAGTGGTTAGACCACAATACTTTGACCATCTTAACTGCTTTTCTCCTAGTCTCACGAATCTTGGTATCAAGAATCTGGACAGGCCTCTCCTCGTATGTCAATGTCTCGTCCAACTCGACCACCTAATGGAATCGAGGTTAAACATGTCTAACTTAGTTTCAAATATCTTAAGGTTATGGTTCGTACCTCGGGATTAAGTATATGCGATTCGTCGCAGACGTACTTCTTCAACTGAGATACATAGAATACGTTGTGTACCTTGAACACGCCAAAATGATTTTTTTTAGGTTTGTGTTTTAAACTTCCAAATAATTTTAGAAAGAATGTATTTACTTCATACCTTACTCAATTCCGTGGGTAGAGCTAGTTTGTAAGCTACTCTTCCCACTTTCTCCAGAATCTCGTAAGGCCCAATGAATCGAGGACTTAGCTTGCCCTTCCTTCCAAATCTCATGACGCCTTTAGTAGG